CCAGGCCTGCAATAGAGCGGACAACTTCATGCATAGGGGTTATGACTTTATTCAGTTCTCTGTAATCCACAGTCATATGCCAGAAGCCATCTGGCTTTTTTACTGGCCACCCTGGGGAATTGAAAGGACTATGGGTGGGCTTTATAATACCCACCATTTCCAGCTCCTGGAGAGTTTCTCCAATCTCTTTATGCCCTCCAGGCAGTTTGTATTGTTTGGTATAAGTCACCCGCTGAGGCACAGGCAAAGCTATGGGCGGGTGCCTAGCATGTCCCCTCTTTCTGCCTTCACCACACGTATCTCAGTCTGAACTCACCTATAGTGGTCTGCAGCCATAGACCCTTCAGGATATCAATCCCCCAAATATACTCAGGGATAGGAGATATATACACAGCATACTCTTTTGGGGGTAGATGCCCTATTCCTAGAGGGATTTGGGCTTGTTTCACTCTGATAGCCTTACCCCCATATCCATCTATGATAGTGGGAGTCCTAGGGAACCGCTCAGGGTTACCATGAATCAGTGAACATTCAGCCCCTGTGTCCACCAGAGCCAGGACACGTTGTATGTTCGCTGGGGACCAATGGATAGCTATTTCAACATGTGGCCTCCAGTCCCCCCCCTGGTGCCTCAGAGCAGATGCCTCAACCTTCCCCTAAATCAAACTGTCTTCCCTAATCACCTTCCTGTGTGGGCTCAAGTGAGGTTGGCTCACTCTCCAGCAGGAAGTCTTGCAAAAACGTAGGCTGGACTTGCGGCTCTGTCTCTGACCTCTGCCTCTTTGGTCTTAATGGCTGGAACTGCTGCCCTGGTTTCAGTTGTTGCCATAGCTCTAATAAGATCCTACTTGACTTCCCATCCAATTTCCTTCCATTAGCTCCTGCCCATATTAAATCAATCCATATCTGGGTCTTCATAACCTTCATGGGGCCCTTTAAATTCTTTTGAGTAGGAGACTTATTTCTTTCTGGGTTCTCATTTCATCAGCCTGTCCTAAGTCTCCTACTCTATGTGTTACCTCGCTTATGGGATGCCCTAAGTGAGGGGAAAGAATGACCACTAAAGACCCCAAGAGGGATGTGGGAGCTGTTTGCAGCACTATATTTCTCATCCCAGTAGGAAAATCTCTTCATCTGGGCCCTAATTCTCTGGCCTATAAATGGCATTTCTTATGCCTAGCTCTTGTAACACCTGTTGGAGCTCAGCATATGTCTGCCTTCTAACAGGAGAGGATGGTAGATCACCCTGATTAGGCCACACAGCACGAAGTGCAGCCATAAGCCAATTGAGGAGGGAGTGATTCCCTGGGGTTTGATGTGCATTTTGTAATCGCTGCCTCAAGGCATGCTGCACTGTCAGGGAAGCCAACCTTCCCATATGTGGGCCTGATAGAACAATTCCTTCCACCCCTAAGTCCCACAGATGCAGGAGCCAAGCTGATATTGACTCCGAGGGTTTCTGCCTAAACCGGGAACCTAAATTACCATCTCAGCCTGAGTATAGGGGCAGAGCATAGAGTGCTCCACGACCTGGGGAGGGGGCTGCTCCTCCCCTTGGGGAACTTTCAGCTGCTGGGTCTTTATTTTCTTTACAACCACTGGGCATGCTTTCAATACAGGAGGGGTCAGTGCCTCCGGCACCACCCCTTCATCCTTTCCCAGCTCCTCCATTTCCGAGGCTGATGGCACCTTTCTTTCCCCTCCTCCGAGTTTCTCCTCTGCTACCACCTTTACCTTTCCTACTATGCCTTGCAGCAATGCTACCTCAGTCTTCAGCAGTTCTCTTAAACTTCACCTCAGTGCTTCACAGCTGGCGTTCTTGTGCCACCTCCACCTGTGCTTCCTTCAGGAGTTCGCCTTTTTCCTTGATGTCCTTTTACTCCTTCAGAGCACTTGGCAGCGCTGCCATCTCATTCTGTAAGTAATCTTTTACCTCTTCAATGGCACTTTGCTGCTGGCATTCTCATGCTACCCGCTCTTGCATCAATGCCATTTTCTTCTTCAGTGAATCCACAGCAGTTTGCAGCTCGCTTTCTTGTGCTCCCATTTCTTGGGTCTTTTTCAGGAGTATGTCCTTCTCTTTAGACTTTTTTAATACTGTGAGAGGCAGCCAACCCACAGTCCCCACTGCCTCACGGGCACTCTGTCTCCTTAAAGACCTACTTACTATACCAAGGGGTCTCCTTACTGCCTCAGGTATCACCTCCACTTGCTTCCAGTCCTGGGGTGGGGCCCAGCCCTCTAGGAGGCAAGCCACCTCAGACCACATACCCATTGTGGGATAATCCACTGTCTCCCCATTCACAGGGGCAGCCTGCTGAAGCACCCCTCCTGTAAGGGCAGCCTGTCTTCTTCCTTGGTCAACAATGGACCCTGCCTACTTCACCAATTTTCATGCCAATGGGTTTCAGCCCTGGGCAAGTTTGCTATGGATTCAATGTGTTCAAAGAAAAGGACAGCCAAACATTCCTGGGGGTGAAAGGTTTTATTAGCCAGCCTGTTCTCCTGGCCTCTCTGCCTCCACTAAGAGCCCTGGGCCAGCTCTCTATATAGTGCAATAATAGCTTATTGCCTAAAGTTGTGGAAGTGGTAGCCTAGCAACAGGTCAGTTACATCATCAGGTGGTTTAAGGTTCAGTGAGAATCCTGGCCATAGGAACCCCAACTTCCCCACAAACTCTGCTTTTTTTGTTTTTTTTTTCTGAAGAAATTTTTATCTCTCCCTCAATTCTGAAGGACAATTTTGCTGGGTGAAGTACTCTTGGTTGGCAATTATTTTCTTTTTCTTTTTTTTTCTTTTTATTAAGATATCATTGAAATCCACTCTTATGAAGGTTTCACATGAAAAACATTTTGGTTACTACATTCACCCATATTATGAAGTTCCCCGCATACCCCACTGAAGTCACTGTCCATCAGCATAGTAAGATGCCACAGAATCACTACTGTCTTCTATGCTACACTGTCTTCCCCATGACCACCCCCAACACCATCTGTACCAGTCATAATCCTCCTCAATCCCCTTCTCCCTAGCTCCCCACCTACCCTCCCTTCCCCATCCCTCTGCTTTGGTAACTGCTAGTCCTTTCTTAGATTCTGTGATTCTGCTGCTGTTTTGTTCCTTCAGTTTTGATTTTTTGTTATACTCCACAAATGAAATCATTTGGTACTTGTCTTTCTCTACCTAGCGTATTTCACCGAGCATAATACCCTCTAGCTCCATCCATATTGTTGCAAATGGTAGGATTTGTTTCTTTCTTATGGGCATTCATCTACTGATGGACACTTAAGTTGCTTCCATTTCTTGGCTATTATAAATAGTGCTGCAATAAACATAGGGTTGGCAATTACTTTCTTTCAGCACCTAGAATATATCATCCTACAAGCTAACCTGCAAAGTTTCTGCTGAAATATTTGCTCATAGTCTTATGCAGATTCTTTTACATAACAAGTTGCTTTTCTCTTGCTGCTTCTAAGATTCTGTCTTTGTCTTTAACTTTTGACAGTTTAATTACAATGTGTCTTGTTGTGTCTCTCTTTAGATACATCTTCAGTAATCTTTGGGCTTTCTAAATTTGAGTGTCTTTTCCTTTCTCCAGGTTAGGGTGTTTTTTAGTTATTAATTACTTAAATAAGCTTTCTGCCCCTTTTCCTCATTTCCTTTTGGTACCCCTGTAATGCATATTTGACCCATTGGTAAGTGTCCTATAAGTCCCTTATCTTCAATCTTTAATTCTGTTTTCATTTTTCTCCCTTATTAGATTAATTCCACTGCCTTGTCTTCAATTCTTTATCCTTTCTTCTGCCTGATCTGTCTGCTGTTGAACCCCTCTATTAGAGTTTTTCAGTTCAGTTGTAATCATCAACTCTGTAATTTCTGCTTGGTCCCTATTAGTATTTTCTAAAACTTTGCTGAAATTTCTACTTTGTTTATGCATTGCTCTCCTAACCTAAGTGAGCATCTTTATGTGTTATTTTGAACTCTTGTGTAAATCACTTATCTCTGTTTCATTAAATTTGATTTCTAGAAATTTATCTTGTTCTTTTGTTTGGAGCATATTCCGTATTCCTGACTCTCCATGTTGGTTTCTATACATTAGATAATATGTCTATCTCTTGTAGTCTTGACAGACTGGTCTCATGTAAGAGATGAACCTCATCAACCAACCTGGCCCAGATTCCTAGTTTACTCTCAAACCTTTGTGATTGTCCAAGTCACTGTCTTTGTTCTTAATGGCTCCCAGAAGTAGAGGGTGTGCCAAGATCTATCCTGCCCCAGAAGGGAGGGTTGCAGTTAGCACCTAGATGTAGGTTTATTAGAAGCCAGAACCTCAGGCAGCAGCTGAGAAATTCTGCAGTGAAATTCTGTCCAGGGAGAAACCAGAGATGGGCATTTTTGCCTGCTCCCTCTATACTGAGCCTGGGCATATACTTGGGGGGTGGGGTGGGGTAATTCCTGTGGCTGTTTAAAAGCTGCTTCTTTGTTTGCTGTAGTTCACTGGTACTTAGGAGCACAAACCCTGTTGGTTCACAGAGTCAGGTGTTCTGGAGGCTCATCCCTCAGGTGGAAGTGTTAAAAGTTGGAGCACTAGATATGTGGTCCAAAGCCTTTGCTCTTCTGAGAAAAGCTGGGGTAGTTGTTGGTTTCTTCCCAATTCTATGGTCCTGTGTTGGGGGTGGGACTTATGGCAAGAGTTGTTTCAGCCTTTCATACTCATTTTGATGTGGATATTTTCGCATTCATCGAATGTGTAGGTGTATATTCAGTGTGTAGCTGTATATTTAGTGCATCTGAGGGGCAAGGGAAGATCAGGAGCCTCCTGTGTTGACATCTTGGTCCCTCCTTTATATCTGTTAATTCCTTTCTTATAATGTCAAAATATCAAGCATCAAAGCCTTGTCCTTAAATATTATCAAAGTCAATATTAATTTAATTCTTAAATTAAAAGTAACCAGTTTTTAAAAATTCTGAAATATTTGACTCCTTAATGCCATCCTAAGCTGCAAAATTTAGAAGTATTTTCAAAGAATTTCCATATTTCAACTATATACAGTCCAAAGCCTTTGATGATGTAAGTATTTTATTATAATTACTTAATTTATCTGCCTCCTTTTGCTAGATTTTGTGCTTTCTAAGGGCAGGTACTAGATCACATTCATTTTTCTTTTCAAAGTGCCACACTCAGTAGCTGGTCCATCGTAGGAGCTCAGAAAATGTTTACTCAATGAATGCATGTGGTGTGGGTTGATTTGTACTTCTTAGATTTATAAAAATTTCTCTGGAAGGTAAAGAAATTATTTTCTTCTAGGTCTAGCATATCATTTTGACAACTGAAACAAGATGATAAAATATTAATAGTGTTATCTTTTGAGGTTGGTGGATCTAGAGAAAGGTTAGAATTTTAAATTTAGAAGTAAAAATGTTTTTTTAGGAAGACTGTAGTATCTTCTTCCTAAGGTATATTTTCTACCAGTTTAAGAATGAGTGAAAAATTCTGTGTATTCCATGACTGACTAAATTTTGTTTTCTAGCTTCTTTACACAGATAGGAATTTTGTGACTTGTGCGCCAACTGGTTCTGGGAAAACTGTAGTGTTTGAGTTAGCTATAACAAGATTGTTAATGGAAGTACCTTTGCCTTGGTCGAACATTAAAATTGTTTACAGTAAGTATTTATATATTGTAAGAGAGAGATAATTAATCATAATAATGAAAAACCATTTAGGCAAATGTAGGAAGTAAATTAAAGTTCAGTCCATAGGAATTAATATTTGGTTTTCCTACTTTTAAAGTAAATACCAAATATCACATTTGGTGTTATCTATTACATTAAATTCAAAACTCATTTTCCCAGAGTTATAAATAAATGGAATATTTGAATTGGGAGTTTGGAGTCCACGTGTTATTTTTTAAAGGACAAGCAAGATGAACAAATAAAATCAAACATTTTTTTTGTTTGTGTTTTGAGAGGGCATCTCTCATATTTATTCATCAAATGGTTGTTAACAACAATAAAATTCTGTATAGGGGACTCAATGCATAATCATTAATCAACCCCAAGCCTGATTCTCAACAGTCTCCAATCTTCTGAAGCATAACCAACAAGTTCTTACATGGTGAACCAGTTCTTACATAGTGAATAAGTTCTTACATAGTGAACAGTACAAGGGCAGTCATCACAGAAACTTTCGGTTTTGATCACACATCATGAACTATAAACTATCAAGTCAGATATGATTATTTGTTTGATTTTTATACTTCATTTATATGTGAATCCCACATTTCTCCCTTATTATTATTATTATTTTTAAATAAAATGCTGCAGTGGTAGGTAGATGCAAGATAAAGGTAGAAAACATAATTTAGTGCTGTAAGAGGGCAAATGTAGATGATCAGGTCTGTGCCTATAGACTAAGTATTAATCCAAGCTAGACAAAGGCAACAAAACATCATGGACGCAGAAGAAAATCAAACATTTTTTAATTCTAGAAATTACCATAGGAACCTCTACTCTCCTATTGTAGGTATATATATATTTAAACATTTTTTACTAATTTATACACATGGTTAAAAAAGTAAGTTATCATGAAAGGCCTTGTGATGAAGAGCAATAATTTCCTACCTTATCTCTCTCCGCTCTTAGTTACAATTCCCTGAGGAATCAATATTTCTAATTTTAGTTCTGTTTGGTGATCACCTTTCAATCTCTAAATAATATGCTTATACTGTTAACTTTCAATTTATAAATATTAGGTTGCATCTAAATGTTTATTTTTATTCTAACTTTATTCCCCAATGTTTGTGAAAATAATTTTAAAATCACACTGACATTCAAAATAAATATCTTATATTGTTACAGTGGCACCAATAAAAGCCCTGTGTAGTCAGCGTTTTGATGACTGGAAAAAAAAATTTGGACCAATAGGATTGAATTGTAAAGAACTCACTGGAGATACAGTAATGGATGACCTGTTTGAGATTCAGCATGCCCATATTATTATGACAACTCCAGTAGGTGTTATTTATGCTTTATTATTTCTCAGTTTATTAGAAAATATCTATTTCTCTTCACCCAGAAAAAAAGTTAAAAGAAAATGCAAAGTAGAAGTATATATTTGCAATGTAAAAAAAACATAAAAAGTACTAGTACTCAGGGTATATAAAAAATACTTGTAAATTAATAAGTAAAACACAAGTGACCAAATGGGAAAAATAGGCAAGAAAGATAAATAAGCAGTTTGTTACTGTGGATAATTTGTCATCACACTTATTGCTTGTATTCTTTCATCCATTGCAGAGAAAAACCCTTATAGAGGCTAAAAAGGGTAAATAGTCTATAGATATGAATATTTTTGGTTAAACTTAAGTGTTGGTTTAGTTTTTTGAACACTTGTAAAACTGTCAAAATCCTTAAAATTTTTTTTAATCTTTAAATCTTTTTCAGGGTACATCAACTTAAATATTGCCCATTATTAGTAACATGTCATGTTAAAATTTTTCTTGATATCTTACTAATATTTATTATAATTTCTTATCATGTTAAACCACTTGCATTTTTCCTTCAGGAAAAATGGGATAGCATGACTAGGAAATGGAGAGACAACTCTTTGGTACAGCTGGTTCGACTGTTTCTCATTGATGAGGTATTGAACACATTGTTACTTCAGAGGTAAACTTAAAAAGATGATAATTAAGAAACTTAATATATGATTAGAATGGATAGAAAGAAACAAGATATTTTCAACCAAACAATATGTTTGTTTTATCTCTTCAAGAGGAAAAAGCTTATTTTCTTATTCCATTGCACATTTTAACTGATTAAATAGATTTTTATTTTTATAGCTAATGATTCTTTCTTAATTTCCTTCTTAGGTACACGTTGTAAAAGATGAAAATCGTGGACCAACTCTTGAAGTTGTAGTCAGTAGAATGAAAACTGTACAGTCTTTATCTTATACTTTAGAAAATGCCAGAACTATTATTCCAGTGAGATTTGTAGCTGTATCTGCAACGATACCAAATGCTGAGGATGTAAGTTAAAATTTTAGTCAGATTTTTTATGACTGGTGGAATATTTAGTCATTTTAATCTTAGAGGAAAGTGAGGGTTTTCTGTACATGACCTAACCAATTTAATAGGAAAGTAAGTTCCTAGAAAGTTGTGGTTAGATGTCATAGCTATGGCAGTATTAGGCTATGAAATTTGGTTGATTGAGTTTAATAAAATATTTTTTGGTGCAAGTCTATTGTTTATAGTATCTAAAAGTCTTAGATACTTACAGTATCTAAAAGATACTTACTAATAGTATCTAAAATCATGGGTTTCAGATACCTAATAATAATTTGACTAATGAAATGTTCGGTTATTTTAATCAGTTGACTGTAGTGGTATGGGAGAGTATGGTGCAGAATAAAAATAACTGCTTAGATGATTACCATCCACCTCCCCCAATTTGGTAAGCACTAAATAGTGAAATCAACATACTGACCCTGCCCTTGTGCTCAGGTTAATGGTTAATGGGGTACATGGACATAAAGAATTATATTCACATTATATTTTTTACAAAAATTATATGTCCTAAGTGTTTTCTTCAATTTTGGGGCAAAGTTCTTGAAAAGTAGTATGCAGTCTCACTCTGCTTTCCCACTTCTATTTGCTTCTCAGCCAAATATAATTAGACTCCCCCACAAGCTACTTTTTTAGAAACTGTTTTCACAAGTAGCTGATACATTGTCTTACCCAATGGAAAACTTTACCTTTACTTTTAATTTGACACAATTAATCATTTTCTTGTTCTTAAAATGGCAACTTGTTCACATGCAAGAATAATAGAGAAAGTTTTAAAGTATATACAACACTTGAACATCATAGGGGTTAGGAACACTGACTCTCCACACAGTCAAAAACCCACTTTACAACTTTTGACTCTCCAAAAACTAAACTGTTAATAGGCTACTGTTGACTAAAAGACTTAACCCGTAACATAAACAGTTGATTAAAACATTTTATATACTATATTAATTATATACTGTAATCTTAAGATTAAATAAGCTAGAGAAAAGAAAATGTTTCCAATAGTTGGAAATCTCAAAAAAACTTTCCAATAGATACATTGAAAAAAATCTGCTTCAGTGTGGACCAGTGCCGTTGAAACCCATTATTCAAGGGTCAGTTGTATAAACAACCAAAACCTAGTGTTTGTCCATACTGATGTACGAATGGAATTGATATACATACTCTTATGACTTACACATCACCAACAAACATTGCCATGTCATTAAATGTTATTCTTTAATACCATTTTTGTGGTTTTGTTGTGATTTATTTAATGGTGGAGGATTATTTTCATTTTTTGCTGTTGTAGATAGTGCTGAAATTATATATCTTTGAAAACATCATGACTGCTTCCTTAGAATAAACTTCTACTGTAGAATAACTAACTCAAAGTATATGTAAAACTTCTAAGGACACAGTGCTTTCAATAAGTGATATATTCACGTATGCTTGCACCATCAGCCATTCTCTGTATTTTAACATTGGATATTATGACTGAAGTTATTTTTATTATTGCTTTTAAATAGTTGCCAAATTTCTAGTTTAAAATGGTACTTTATTTTTAATAAATATTTTATACTGCTTTGATTTGTATTGAAGTAAGTATTTTAATATATTTATAACTACATTAAGTTCTCTTTTTACAATTTGCCAGGTCATGTCCTTTACTCTATTTTTCACATTGGAATACTAAACTTTTCTTACTGATTTGTAAGAAATTATTAAATATCAAGACAATGTAATTCTTGATACTTTCTTCCCCTTCTGATAATCACTACTTCTGTGAATGCTATTTCTATCTTTTTGTACAAGTCCTCTTCCTCAATTTCCCCTAATTTAAATTCTTCATTCTAGGCTTTCTAATCCTTTTAAACTGTAAATTCTTGTGTGATCTTATCTGTACCCATGATGGCCTTGAAAATCTTTTAATATTTCCTTTCTGTGCAACTAGGAACTCATTATAGTCCATCTTCTTGTCAAAGTCATGGTCAGTTTCAAAGCAGGGTAGTAAGCCTGATTACTAGCCAGACTGTGTGAAGATAAGGGTTGCGCACTATAGCTCTGGAACTTAACAAGTAACACTAGCAGTGAGTCTTTCTGAAATGTGTTTTTGGTACTGCCATTTCTCAAGTTTATTTATTTGTTTTTTTTTGTTTTAAAGTTAGCAGCCCTTGTCAGTCTAAGCTAACCATTACTTGCTACTCTTCAATTAGTAGAGCAACACAAAAGACATGTCAGCTATATCTAGACATAGTTCTGAAAAATAGTAGTTACCATGATAGTGAGAAATTCAATTTCTCTGCTGAAATCAACTTTAATTTTACTTTAGACTTTTACAAAGGAAAATATTAATTAATAGAGAGTTTACCATGGTGAAAAGTTGGTATAATCTTGAAAAACTGCTATCAGTAGTATTTACCAGTTTATCTAAATAGTATTGGTGTAATATGTAAAATTGAATAAGACTACTTGATGAAATATTTTCATCTTAATTTTAAAATAGTCTATTATTGAGTTATTTTTAGCCATAAAATTTTAATAGGAGAAACTTTTAATGTATGTTTCTGTTATTTAAAGATTGCAGAATGGCTTTCAGATGGTGAAAGACCTGCTGTATGTCTGAAAATGGATGAGAAACATAGACCAGTGAAACTTCGGAAAGTGGTCCTTGGATTTCCCAGCACTAGGAACCAAACTGAATTTAAGTTTGATTTAACCCTTAACTACAGAATTGCCAGTGTTATACAAACATACTCTGATCAGAAACCTACACTTGTGGTATGGATTTTTGGTTATTTTTAAATTTAATGTTCAGTTTTTAATATGATTAATACAAAAATTATTCATTTTCAGTTTTGTGCAACAAGGAAAGGTGTGCAACAGGCTGCTTCTGTTCTTGTGAAAGATGCAAAGTTTCTTATGACTGTGGAACAGAAACAGAGGTATATTTTTTCATTTTTTTCTTGAAGGTAGAAAGACTTTGGGATCATCTGGATGTGATGAGAAACTGGCTTTTTCCCTTAAGGTTAAGTTATTTCACCTCACCAGACCTCTTTCCTCACCTGTATAATAAGGATAATAGTAATTTGGAGGATTAAGGAAGATAATGAATCTTACTGCAACTATGATCCTGTCTTCTTTATTTCACCATCAGATTTCTTGAAGTTATCCTTCATGTATCTGGCTTCATTTTTTAACCCACTTTCAATCCAGCATCTGTGTAATCTTTCACTGAAGCTGATCTTGCTAATTGATGGGTCAGGAGCCTCTAACACATTTGGCCACTCACTATTTAAAAACTGTGGTCTCTGTGCTTCCATGATCATCTTCTACCAACTTTTTCATACTTTGCTGGCTGCTCTTTCTTAGGCTCCTTTTTACCACTTCTATCCATTTCCTAAATGTTAACATTTTAGGGGTTCTATCCAAGGTTCATTCTTTCTAATTCCATACTTCTGGGTATTTGTATCTATCACATAGGTTCAAAGAATTATATGTATACACATATTTATATGTCTGTGAATTACCAAATTTATAACTCCAATCCAGGCTCCATTTAGAGCTCCAGGTCTATAATCCATCTCTGTAACTGACATCTGCAGTTGTATATCTATGGGCATCTCAATATGTGCAAAGTTGAACCCTTGTTCTTTCTCAAACCAGCCACCTCCTCCTCCAGTTCTCCCATCTAATTACACATCATTTCTCTATTTGCTCACAACAGTAACCTATCACTGACATCTCTTTCACCTTCCTCCCCATAAGGCAACCAATTACCAAGTCATGTTTATTCTTATCCTAAGTATATCTCAAATATATCATTTTGTCTCCATCAACACTACCACCTCCCTAGTTCAAATCACTATTAATCCCTTGCCTTTTTATCTGATGACCACACATATACTCTTGTCCCACTTTAGTCTATTATCTACATAGAAGATAATAAAATTGTAAATCTAAATATGTTAGTTTCCTGAATGAAACCTTTAATAATTTCTGAATCCTAAATCTTTAATATGACTTGCACAACCCTGTGTAATGTGATCTCTGGCTAATTCTCCAGACTCATCATGCCCATGCTTCCCCCTTACTCACTATAGTCAAGCCTCTATATTAGCCTTTCTGTTCTATGAATACACCAAACTGTTACCCTAGACAGGCTTTCCTGCATTGTGTTTTCTTTACCTGGAATGGATTTTTACCTGTTATTTATGCTTTAAGTCTTAGGTTTAATATCAGTTTCTCAGGAAGTTTTCCATATCTTCAGTTTCCCTTTATTTACTTTTATAGGCACCTGTACTTTTATTTCATACCACTTCCTATAATTGTAATAAATACTCTTGTTTAATTGTTATTTTAATATCTATTCTGTTCATTAGATTGTAAACTTCTTGATGAGAGAAAGACTCATGGTCATCTTATTACTCAATCTTAGCAGCTCTCAATAGAGTGCCAGCACGTGATTATTACTTAATGGATATTGGCTTGTTGTTATTATGAATACAACTTATGGGAATCAATAAATAGGTTTAGTGATAGACTTCAGGTTAAATTGGATTAGATAATTATGTGTATATATGAGCAGAGGCTGATTTTTCTAATTTTGTGTTGGGGGATAGATGTACCTCCACTTTGGGTCAGAAGAGCTTTCCAATTACTAGTCTATCCTGTGGCTACTACTTCTAGTCACATTTTTTTTTATTAAGGTATCATTGATATACAATCTTATGAAGGTTTCACATGAAAAACATCGTGATTACTACATTCACCCATATTATCAAGTCCCCCCAACACCCCACTGCAGTCACTGTCCATTAGCACAGTAGGATACCACAGAGTCACTACTTGTCTCCTTTGTGCTACACTGTCTTCCCTGTGACCCCCCCCAAACACCATGTGTGCCAATCATAATACACCTCAGTCCCCTTCTCCCACCCTCCCCACCCATCCTCCCCCATCCTTTCCCTTTAGTAACTGCTAGTCCCTTCTTGGAGACTGTGAGTCTGCTGCTCTTTCTTAAGTTTTACTTCATTGTTAAACTTCAAAATTGAGTGAAATCATTTGGTACTACTTGTCTTTCTCTGCCTGGCTTGTTTCACTGAGCATGATACCCTCTAGCTCCATCCATGTTGTTGCAAATGGTAGGATTTGTTTTCTTCTTATGGCTGAATAATAGTCCATTGTGTATATGTACCCCATCTTCTTTATCCATTCATCTACTGATGGACACTTAAGTTGCCTCCATATCTTGGCTATTGTAAATAGTGCTCTGATAAACATAGAGGTGCATATGTCTTTTTGAATCTGGGATCTTCCTTTCTTTGGGTAAATTCTTAGGAGTGGAATTCCTGGGTCAAATGGTATTTCTACTTTTAGTTTTTTGAGGAATCTCCATATTGTTTTTCCACAATGGATAAACTAATTTACATTTCCACCAGCAGTGTATGAGGGTTCCCCTATTTCCACATCCTTGCCAGAATTTGTTGATCCTAGTCTTTTTGATATTGGTCATCCAAACTGATATGAGGTAATATCTCATTGTGGTTTAAGTTTGCATTTCCCTGATTAGCGATGTGGATCATCTTTTCATGTGCCTGTTGACCATCTGAAATTCTTCCTTGGAGGAGTGCCTGTTCATATCCTTTGCCCATTTTTTAATTGGATTATTTGCTTTTTGGGTATTGAGGCATGTGAGCTCTTTATATATTTTGAATGTTAACCCCTTGTCGGATATGTCGTTAATGAATATATTCTCCCATACTGCAGGATGCCTTTTTGTTCTACTGATGGTGTCCTTTGCTGTACAGAAGCTTTTTAGTTTGATGTAGTCCCATTTGTTCATTTTTGCTTTTGTTTCCCTTGTCTGAGGAGATGTGTTCATGAAAAAGTTCTCATATATATATTCAAGAGATTTTTGCCTATGTTTTCTTCTAAGAGTTTTATGGTTTCATGACTTACATTAAGGCCTTTGATCCATTCAAGTTTACTTTTGTGTATGGAGTTAGACAATAATCCAGTTTCATTCTCTTACGTGTACATGTCCAGTTTTCCAAAGACCAGTGGTTGAAGAGGCTGTCATTTCCCCATTGGATATACATGGCTCCTTTATTGTATATTAATTGAGCATATATGTTTCTGTTTATATCTGGGCTATCTACTCTGTTGTATTGATCTATGGGTCTGTTCTTGTGCCAGTACCAAATTGTCTTGATTACTGTGGTGTTGTAGTAGAGCTTGAAGTTGAGGAGCATAATCCCCTCAGCTTTATTCTCCCTTCTCAGGACTGCTTTCGCTGTTCGGGGTCATTTGTGGTTCCATATGAATTTTAGAACTATTTTTTCTAGTTCTTTGAAGAATTCCATTGGTATTTTGATAGGAATTGCATTGCATCTGGATTGCTTTAGGCGGGATGGCCATTTTGACAATATTAGTTCTTCCTATCCATGAGTATGAGGTGTATTTCCGTTTATTGGCATCTTCTTTAATTTCTCTCATGAATGTCTTGTAGTTTTCATGGTATAGGTCTTTCACTTCCTTGGTTAGGTTTATTCCTAGGTATTTTATTATTTTTGAGGCAATTGTGAATGGAGTTGTTTCCCTAATTTCACTTTCTGCTAGTTCATCGTTAGTATATAGGAATGCAACAAATTTCTGTGTATTAGTTTTGTATCCCGCAATTTTGCAGAATTCAGATATTAGTTCTAGTAGCTTTGGAGAGGATTCCTTAGGGTTTTTTTTATATGTACAATATCATGCCATCTGCAAACAAGGACAATTTAACTTCTTCCTTACCAGTCTGGATGCCTTTTATTTCTTTGTGTTGTCAGATGCCGTGGCTAGGACTTCCAGAACTATGTTGAATAAAAGTGGGGAGAGTGGGCATCCTTGTCTTGTTCCCCATCTTAAAGGAAAAGCTTTCAGCTTCTCGCTGTTAAGTATATTGTTGGCTGTGGGTTTGTCATATATGGCCTTCATTATGTTGAGGTACTTGTCCTCTATACCCATTTTATTGAGAGGTTTTATCATGAATGGATGTTGAATTTTGTTGAATGCTTTTTCAGCAACTATGAAGATGATCGTGTGGTTTTTGTCCTTTTTGTTGACGTGGTGGATAATGTTCATGGATTTTTGAATACTTACCATCCTTGCATCCCTGGAATAAATCCTACTTGATCATGATGGATGATCTTTTTGATGTATTTTTGAGTTTGGTTTGCTAATATTTTGCTGAGTAATTTTGTATCTATGTTCATCAGGGATATTGGTCTTAATTTTCTTTTTTTGTGGTATCTTTGCCTGGTTTTGATATTAGAGTTATGTTGGCCTCATAGAATAAGTTTGGAAGTATTCCCTCCTCTTCTACATTTTGGAAAACTTTGAGGGTCGGTATTAGGTCTTTACTAAATGTTTGATAAAATTCAGCAGTGAAGCCATTTGGTTCAGGAGTTTTGTTCTTAGGTAGTTTTTGTTTACCAATTCAATTTCATTGCTTGTAATTGGTCTGTTTAGAGTTTCTGTTTGTCCCTGGTTCAGCCTTGGAAGGTTGTATTTTTTTAGAAAGTTGCCCATTTCTTATAGGTTATCCAGTTTGTTAGCATATAATTTTTCATAGTATTCTCTAATAATTCTTTGTATTTCTGTGGTGCCCCTTGTGATTTTTCCTTCTTCATTTCTGATTCTGTTTATGTGTGTAGACTCTCTATTTTTTCTTGATAAGTCTGGCTAGGGGTTATCTATTTTGTTTATTTTCTCAAAGAACAAGCTCCTGCTTTCATTGATTCTTTCTATTGTTTTATTCTTCTCAATTTTATTTATTTGTGCTCTAATCTTTATTATGTTCCACTTCTACTGAATTTGGACCTCATTTGTTCTTCCTTTTCTAGTTCTGTTAATTGTGAGTTTAGCCTGTTCATTTGGGATTGTTTTTCTTTCCTGAGGTAGG